GGTTGCACCAAGTACTACTGTTTTCAAATCTGCTTACTCGATCAAATTTGAGTACCAAGTACTTGTTACTTGACCAAGTACTTGGTAAAGTGATGAACTCTGACTTATTTTAGGTATTAAGATATTTTCCTTTTTTTAAAAAAATAGTATGCTTTCTCAAAAAATCTCAAATACAGTTGTGTAGTTGGACAATTTATTGCAACTACAGTATTTGTTAGTTAGTGTATTTATGGTATTTTCATAGGTTGTTTTTTAAATGTTTAGGAATTTTGCATCAGTTAAGGGAATCCATCACTCCGCAGTTATTAAACCCTGCAAGCCATAGCCACTCCTAAATCGAACCTACTGCTCACCAGAACACCGGTATCAGCGATGGCCGCATTAGGCGGCGTTGTCAAATTTGCGATTACAGAGTTTATTGCTTTTCAAGCGGCCGGCCGAGTGTTTTTTTCACCATACCGACAAAGCGTAGTGTTGGGACCCATTTGCTCGGCAACCTGTCTTCTATTGGGCACTGGCTTCGAGCACAGAATAATTCGGTCTGCCGCTAGCGTTGTTACTGGACGACCCACCCTTATAAATAAAATGTTTCGCCTTCTGTTCGAAATTCTTTTTTAACGAATATACAAGATAATTTTTGTAAACATGCCAAAACTATAAAATTCAATATTTCAGATAATAGTGAAAGTGAAGCGTGAAGAATTAGAGTTTGCACAATATTAGAAGTTTCATATCGAAAAGTTTCACATTATACAGAAATAGACAGTTGATGGTACTTCAAACGAAAATTTAATCGAACTCCGCCTTACTTGATTTTTTTCTTTCTCTATGAGTTTATTTAGATAATAATAATAATCAATATTTATGGAAATATTGATCAGAGTCGGACCAGTTTTTGCTATTTTCTCAATGTTTTTGGAACACAAACTGATTTTACATTTAAATAATCCAGGGCCTTACTTTTTTTTTATTTGTTTACACGATCAATCTACGCACTGCAATTTCAATCTATGTTATTTTTGCATTTTCGAACGCAATTAGACCAATATGTAAAAAGTATGGCTTAGAATCAATTTCTGGTGTGTAAATAATCATGTAGATCGGTTTGCTATGGTCTATATTAAATGTTACAATTTGGTCTGGACAAATCGTAAATTTGCAAAAAAATGAATTTAGAACTTCACTTCATTATGATAAGGCCTTGGTTCATACCACCTACCATTTCGCTATGTCCATTCCAAACAATCTGTATAGGTTATCTCTAGGGATATTGGTAGGGTCAATAGATTTTTTAAAATGATTTGATTTTTTTATGTTGGAGGCTAGACAAGTAGACTGTGGAGTGCCGATGGACGTTAAAACTAAAATAAGGAAAAATCTGAACATTTATATTGGAATATTTATCAAACCATTTTTTTTAAGTACTTTCAGTTTGATGAAATTTTTTACTGAATATGATTAAGCAACGAACTCGATACTTTCCGAAAACAATTGTAATAGGAAAGCAGCGTGGCCCCTCCTGAGAATCCGATTGTTTCATAAGGTTTGCATATTTAGCATGCTTTTAGGATTTGCCCCCCTGAGAAAATTTGCTACTCCCCGCTCTTCCTCGGGCGCCCAGGTGCCCATGCAGATCTTGATGGCTTTTGGGCGTAGTCAGCTGTTTTTTATATTCTAATTGAAATTAAATTTTTTCTGTTTCGACGTATATCAACCTTAAATCATATTAGAGCAACGCCAAAAAAAAGGGTTTTTTTGAACTTTTTGATTATTTGTGATTCTGTTCACAAAAATTCGATTTGTTTAAGAACCAGCGAATCGAATTAAATTTGACCGGGATGTAATTAATAATATAGCAACCACGCAAATACAGCAATTGTGCTTAATTTTCTGCTATTGTTGATTTTGTTATGGATAATTAATTTTTCCCCAGAGGAGAACTTGCTTTTCAAAAATAGTAAATACTGGTCATAGTCTAGCAATAGATTGTACAAAAATCAGATTGATTGATCTACAATAACAGCTTCAAAAAATGAGATACGGGTAGCTAAACCACTAACATAAAGTTCGGCCTCAACAGTAATTTTAAAAAGTAACTACCGTTTTAAAAGAAAGGGTTCAAATTGTTTTATGGAATTGCGTTTACGCACCTTGGACACGCACACGTGCCTTTCGAATTTTCAGTTTCAAAGTACACACAAACAGCACAAATCACATTAGTGAAAAAACAAAATACGAGTGCACTGCTCTGAAGGATAGGTTTCAGGCAAGTAAACATCGGAAGTAAATAAAAGCCTCCAATAACCTTTTCCTTTAGACAAAAAAATTTGGAATTTATTATTTGCTACCTGCTTCCTGGAATGAATACATTTTTGCTAATACCGATTCAGTTGCATTTAAGAAGGTGAATGCGAGAAACTAGTAAATATTGATAACAATTGATATTATTAAATACGCCAAAATAAAGGAATCTGGTACTTTCTGAAGAACGAAAAGAAAAAAGCTCGCCGCAAATGGGATAGAATCACCACAAAAAATTTACGTTTGGCATATCTAATTGATATTACGCTACCCCCACCGCATTTTATATGTACATATAATCACTGTCATAGCTAAGTATTATAAAATATTCACGTGAAATAATAGTACTTGTTTTTTTTAACAAAATGCTTAATTATGGTCAATGGCAATGGCTTAAGTCACAGTACATTATATAATCAGTACCAACTAAAAAATATTTATATTTATTAGGAAGCCGAAATTTCCGCATCTCTCCATCCATTTCAAGTGTCATAGGTTGTCAATGTAACTATAACATTTCCAAAAACTTCGCTGGCTTCTGAAATTTTCTTGTTTTCAACAATCTGACAACCTATATGGCGAGATGCTTGACAACTTGGCTCCGGTAAATGGGTAGAGCGAGTGGGAGGAATGGTCGAACAGATTTTTTCATCGTATTTCCATATTATCTCGTTAATTTCTTGAACAATTGCAAACATTTCTTCACGTATCCACATGATGTTGTTTACATGTCATGAGCCATCCAAGACATGACAAAAAAGTTTGGTGGAAAAGTTATCAGACAGTATTGCCAAAAAAACAACAATTTTTTTAACAACAATGGACTCATGACATTAACATTAACTTATGTGGACACGAAATTTGAACTCGGCCGCATTGATATTTTACGATATTTCGAAACTAATTTTTGTATTATTTTTTTATCACAAAAGTCAAAGAATTGCGTGTGTGATGTGAAAAACCTGAGCTCGTATCTTTATCCAAACATTCATATGTTCCACAAGACATGAATGTGCCATCAAAGAAATAGTCATGGCTATGGCATATTTTTAGCTAGTGTATTTACTGTATTCGTGTTGCTTATTTTTTATTTATAAAGTGTAACTATTACATGTTTTTACCGGAAAAAAATCAATCTATTGAGCAGCTACCATATCTGTTTGAACTGAATGCACATTGTAATATTGCTGTATTACAATTTTTTATTTGCTCTTTTACCTTTCATATGAACACTAAAAAAAACAGCATAAACCACAACAAAGTGAACATGCAGAAAAAGTCCAAAAGTAACGTAAATAACGTTTCTGCAAAAAAACTTTGCTCATATATTTACAGGGAAATCCATATACCACTGACGTCGTAATGTGTACGAGAGAGAAACACGAGAAGGGTGCAATACGTGTGTTAGAAAGAAGCACGTTGTTCCCTAGCAAACCGAGTGACGAGGCCACGGACGCAGCTGCGGCTTGCTGCGTTGCCATTGGCGCACTCTATCATACATATTGCACGCTTCTCTCTCGTACACATTACGACGTGGGCCTAATTTGAACCTCACCATATATTTTTTTCTTTTACATCGTGCTGGTTTTTGGAATTGCTTCGTTATATTTGTTTCTGGACTCGACGTCGCGTCGGCTTGTCTGTTCTCTGCAGTGGGGTTTTGTAAGAAGGTTCTGTGTGCCTCGATTTTCTACTGGCGAGCAGTGTCACACGATTTGTTAAACCAGCCGTTGGATTCTGGTTTAAGTTCTTTCACTGTATGAGGGATGAATTCCTCCTTTGCGATGTGGATAATTTCGCTTATTGAAGAACAGACATCCGACGCATCCGTGTCAGCGAAATAAGCATCTTCCAAAGAAAGGTAGAGAAGAAGTCTCTGAGTCCCTCCCAATCGGCATGCTCGTAATGCCAAATTTTGGCGAGTTTCTGCTGTCACATATATATTTATTTATTTATATGTAAGGATAATTTTGGCTTAGTCCTTCCCAAATTGGAGTTGGAGTTTGGAGCCTCCATTGTCTACCTTCAACAAAAAAGTAGGTTTAAGATGTTGAGTGTATACCTTTTGAATGTCTTACAAATGTGCTTCTCTTGTAATAGGAAAAATCGAAAAGTGTATCAAATATTTATATAAATCCTACAAAAATGTAATCTCAAAATATGGTTTCAAACCTAATTCATTATTATTATAGCTGCTGATTTCCACAGTAAAAACACACCTTTACCAAGAATGTTGCAAGAGTCTCAAACATTTGAAAAAGAAAACATCGCAAAAATTGTCTAAGCTGAACAACTGATTTTTTGTGATGTGTTGATTTCTTGGAAATCAATTTTGAGAAACGCAAATATATTCGTGATATCACTAACAGGAGCTAAAATGTCCCAGAGTTTACCACTTTACCGAGTACTGGGATCAGTGGCGGCTCGTGCCAATTCAGTGAGGTAGTGCCAGAATGGAAGCCATAATTTTGAATCGATTCAAAATTGTAAAGAATAACTTATAACTTACCCCTGATAGTTAGTGGTCAAAGTTCTTGAGGTTCAATAAATCTATATGTCCAAAAAAAAATCAAAAATAAAACTATTTACACACGCGCACCAAATTATAAAACAAGTGTGGAGAAGTACCTATAACTTCAAAGTTTTCTATACATGAAGTCCATTCTTCTTTCTTTTTTGGTAGCAAAGTTTTCGATTACCTTATTATTAAAATTTTCAATGCCACTAACAAAATGTTTTTCTGCAGACAGCATTCCTAAAGCACTAAGCCTTTCTTCCTTCATTGTGTTTCTGAGGAAAGTTTTAATCCGTTTCAGCATTGAAAAAGAGCGTTCTGCTTCAGATGTTGACATCGGTATAGTGATTAAAATACTTAAGAGCTTAAGAGTTTCTTGAAACGTACAATTTAATCCTTCCTCGTTCAATAAAATGGATAGTGGAACAGCTCCAGAAGTAGTACTCAATTCTTCTCTCTGATATAATACTTGTAACTCAGTTTTAAGCCTGTTTTTGTCTAAAAATGAAAATTGTGTGCATGTGTCATTTAAATGTGCTTCAGGAAACTGATGTTTATAAACAGAAAACTTTTCAGACACAAATAAATTAGAAGCAACTAAATGCCCAGAAAAGTTAAATCTTGTTCTTATTTGCGATAATACTGCATCGCATATTTCTAACGCTTCCCGTTTTTTGCTGCCTTCTTCAACTTGCCTTTTTTTTCTTGCCGGTTCATCAGTTTCTCTCTGCACTCGTTCAATCTCGTCAATAATGCTATCCATTTGTTCTCGTATAGTTTGAATTGCTGCTTCAAAATTCTCTAAATCATTTTTGACCTTAACAGAATCGGTGCATACTTTTTGTAATTGGTTAAAGACAATTTCAACATGTGGCATTATTTTATGGAATATACTTAGCCAAAATACAAAATTTGTATCTTGCAGCTTTAATTTGTACCCACTGGCTTGATTAATCGACGAAGAATCGCGTGAAGTACTTTCTATATTGTCCATAACTTCAATCAGGTCTTTCCTATTTTCATAAACTGTATGAACACCTCGTGACTGAAAATTCCAACGTGTTTGGGAAGATCTTGGCAATCTGCGATTAACTATTTCATCCAAAATTTTTGTTCTTTGAGGAGACGTCGAAAAAAAAGAGCACAATCCAGATAAATTATGGAAAAATATTCTAGCCTGCTTATTGACAGAGCATGCGCTTGTCATAATTAGATTTAACTGGTGTGCATAGCAATGAACATAATTTGCAAGTGGATAAGTTTCCTTAATAATCTTTTGAACGCCATTCAATTCACCACTCATAACAGACGCACCATCATAGCTTTGAGCTATTAATTTGTTTGGATTTTGATCTATTAATGGATTTACAACATTTAAAACGCATGCAGCGATTGATTTGGCATCGTGTCCGTCGGGGACGTAAAATCTCCAAAATCTCTCAACTGGTTGTCCTTTACACAAATATCTGAAAATAATAACTAACTGAAATTCACAGGCTACGTCAGTCGTTTCATCGGCAATTACTGCAACAAAAGGAGAATTTGCAATCTCCTTCTTAACTTCTTCATGATAAACATCTAGCATGCACTCAAGAAGCTCGTTTTGAGTTGTTTTTGAGGTACCCTTGAAAAGTTTGGCACTTTGAATATGGACTTTCAATTCGTTGTCTAATTCGGCGCTAAAATTCACCAGCTCCTTAAATATGCCTCTGTTTTCCGAATTTTCCTTTTCATCGTGACCCCTTAAGGCTAACTCAAATGCTCCACAAAACCTTATACAATTAATAATTTTATTCAATACATATCGATTCTTATCCACTTGATTATTATGTTTAATTAGATCATTGCGATAAGCCGAATTGAGTTGAGTCCTTATATTTAATTTACCAAGAATAGAAAAGCTAAAAACATTATTCATATGGACTTTAGATTTTTCGTGGGTCTTCATTTTATCCCATATATGTATAAGATCATCTGTACCTTTTTTTGACCAAGTCTCGTCACCTCCAAATGGAACACATACAAAACAAAATAGTTTATTCGTTTCTTCACAACCACATATCCAGCTGTTTTTATCGTACACATTTTTATTAAATTTGCGACAGCGCGATTTTTGTCCGCTACCACTTTGTTTCTCAATTTTTAAATCGGGTATTGGCCGTCCTAATTCTTTAATTTGCAGTTTTTGATCCAGCGAAAAACCACTAAATGAGTTTTTTAATATCCCGATTTTATTCATTTTCACTAGTTTTAATAAAACAGTAAAAAATATGATCACAAAACAGAGCAGTTCATTAACACTAGACGTACTAAAACAAAAACGTTATTTCTCACTTTTCAGGTAAAAAAAGACCGAAATCAGCACTAGACGTAATCATAACGAAACGACCGACCGAACAAAAACACCGCCGATATCATTTGATAACGAATTACGACTGATGATGTGCCTGGCACAAATTATACTTGTCTTTCGCTATTCACCTCATATAAAAATGTGTATTGTAGCGTTATCTCTGTCGCTCGTATGCGATGCTGGTAAAATTTCTCTCTTTTTATTTGGGCCGGCCCGACATTGGCACAAGTTGATGACGTCAAGGTCAAGGCATGCTTTATATCTCGTCGCGTGGTTCGGGTGCTTGCGGTGTTGTCACGTTGTCAGTGTTGTCACTTCATATAATTTATACCAAAAAAAAAATGAAAAAGCAAAAAATAAAGTAAAACATTGAAGATTGAAAAAAATATTCTTTTTGAAGAAGACAAGGTAGTGCCATGGCACCGTGGCACTACCTCACGAGCCGCCACTGACTGGGATTCGAATTTGACTGGGTACCTGGTACTCGGTATTTTAAAAAAGTATTCTACCGGAAGACATTTCGGCGTCCAAAAAATCATCCGAGATGAAATGAGATATCCTGGCGTCATCTATGAGAATTTGTCACTGCGATGCTATGTAGTGGGCTACAACGCCATCTATAAGGAACTAACCTTTCCAAAACAGATTTCTGATTATTGCAGAGAGGACAAACAGCGGAGTCAAATATGTCAAAATATATTTGTAAATGGCTTACTTAGTGCTTCCTTTTAAGGATACCATACTAGATGGTGTTACTGGTCCAACTGCTGTCCATTTTGTGTGGTTTTGCAAATTGGGGGATGATGAATGATGCCTGTGTGCAATGATAGATTCATAATAAAAAGAAAAACCTGGCTGTAAAATCTCTTTTTTGAACCAGTACTTCTCTTGTTCACAAATTCAAGGTGTGCATATGAAACTAACTTCAGGTTCTTCATGAGCCCTGTTTATCCAGCGTCACATGACTTAAGAATAGACTTTTAAAATAACATTCTATAGCATCGCCAGATTCGAGAGATCGACGCAATGACGTCACTATGTGAACTATGCAAAGGGATTATTTAAAGCAACACTGTTACCAGTTGCCTCAGTTGTGGTTAAGGTGTCAATATGTCAGTGGGCCTCTAAATGTATATTTTTGTTTCAGAAGTATCAGCGATGAGTGACGAGACTACGGGGGCAGGGCAGGGGGCTCTGCCCCCGCGTGAAGGCCAGACTGGCCTAAGAACTGCATCTGACCGACCCCCAACATCTGGCACCACAGTGCGGTTAACCCAAGTTGTTGGTGGCCAGTATGTTATCACCTCGCAACCTCATGGAATGCCTTCATTGACACAGGTAAAAAACATCACCTCAATACATGCTTGCACTCAGCAGCTGAAATGATGAATGTTATCTGAATTTTTTTTGCTCTGTCCGTTTTACCAAGTAATGATAATAAATCTTCATTTCAAAATGACAGTGGATCACTACTGTGTATTACATCCTGTTAGATGAAATATACGTCACAGCGTCATCGAGACAAAAACAAACAAGTGAAGCAAATCAAAAAAACTAAAACAGAAGCTAAACACGTAACTCATTCAGATTTTACATTTCAAAATATTCCTGGAGGTTATATGGTTCTAAGTGCATTAAAGCCATGTACAGATATGTAACAACACCGCGAACCGCAGCGCGCGCATTTTGACGAACAGCATTGCAACGAACATCACCACATACCCAACGAAGTCGTGCAACCACATCGCGCAACAAAATGAGACGATCCAATTTTGATGTTTGTCGTTCAGTGACAGAGGAATACTAGTGGAAATGTATATAGAAGTAGCAGCGGCTGCCTATATGTATATTCAATACGCTACGAATTATCCAAAAACAAGCGACGACGACGTCCGAGACCAGGCCTCTCCAACTCGAGCACCTGGTGCTGGTGCGCTCCGGTGCTGAACCCAGCGGCACTGGTGCCGTTCCCCCTCCACCGCACAGCCGTCGGGCAGAGAGAAACATATTAGCCGACTGTCTCTCGGGCGCGGGCCATTTCTTAATAGGATAAGACAAAGTGGACAGGTTTTTTAGCGTCTCAACGTGCATCTTTTTTTAAACGATGTCATTCAATCCTGCATGGAAGAAGCCTATTTTTTGTAAATACTGATGGAAAAGCAAAATGTTTAATTTGTCATACGGTATTGAGGCCAGCCCTTCTAAGTTCTGAAGAGTTAATTATTAATTTGGTCGTAGTTGGTTATTATTAATGGTGTCGTAATGCAAGTTATATTGTTGCTTTGAAAATCGCAAAAAGTAGGAGACCGTTTACTGACGGTGCACTTGTCAAAGAATGCTTAGTCTAGTGTGCAGAAATATTGTGCCCATCTCCTGTAAGCAACTTTGAGACGATTAGTATGTCCGAGCAAACAATTTCTCGTCGGATACTTGAACTGGGTGCAGATTTAAAAGAACAACTGCGGGAAAGTGTCCATTTTGTGCAGTATTCTAAGCTCTCGACGAAAGTAAAGTCATTTCTGACACAGCATAATTAGCTGTTTTCGTTAGAGGTGTCGAAATAGTATTTACTATCACCGACGAACTACTAGACGTTATCCCGCTCAAAGATAGACTGGCCGGAGAAGATATTTTTGATGCTGTAGAATACACAATGAATGACATAGGTATACTACCCAATAGTTTGCCTAGTGTTGTTACTGATGGAGCGCCAGCAATGTTATCGGAAGCACAAGGTTTTACTGGGCGTATGAAAATAAAAGTACGCGACGCTGGGCTACCTCCGATATCATCGGTACACTGCATATTACATCAGGAACAACTACGTGCAAAAACCTTCCGTAATTTCAAATCGATTATGGATGTAGTAATAACACGTTAATTTCTGCAGAAAGCAAGGTCTCAACCACGGCAGTTTGAAGTATTTTTCAAAGACCTGGAAGCAAGTTACGGTGAGATACCCTATTATTGTGTTGCGCGCTGGTTAAGCTGCGCAAAAGTGCTAAAGATTTTTTTAAATCATTGATGACGTTGAGATGTTTATGCAAATGAGATTTTTACGACGCCATCTTCAGTGCTTTTCGAAACAGAACCGCCGCAGTCCCAAATGGAGCTGATTAAGCTTCAATGCGATACGATCCTTAAAGATATATACTACCACTACAATAGTAATTTAATTTTGTTTTATCAAGGTGTTAAGCGGCAAGATTTTGCCAAAATTCTTGCACTGGCCTTGGAAACTTGCTCCATTATTCGGTAGAACGTACTTCTGTGAGCAGATGTTTTCTATAATGAATTTGAACAAAACTAAAAACAGGTCTTTGTCTGATGTGTCCTTAGAGGCGATACTCAGAACTTCCACTGCTCAAGCCACTGTACCGAATATTAGAAAACTTGTTGAATCGAAACGCTGTCAAAGATCATCTTAAGAATAAATGTGTTTACGTCGAAATTATGAACAATATTTTATCACCCGCGCGTTGACTCGATCAGACCAATTCAAATGTCAATACGAATGTCACCACTCATCTTCCGCTGGGGCTGGGAGCCGGCGAAATTAAACTTTATCGCGAATTCGACTAAACTTGGTAATAATATGTATTTTTTAAGTAAATGAACAAAAAGGGCTTGGAATGCCGATGAAAGTACCTGTCATATCGACCTGAAGATACAACGTGACGGTAGGATTTTACCATAACCTATACGTATATCAACAGTCATGACGTTTCATATTCATTTTACATATACTTTCAAACATCTAGCAGCCTGGTGTCAAACTGGCAGACTCAAATGAGCTTTTAAATGTAAGCATGAACCATACAAACAGGATGTATTATTTTTATCTATTTGCATTGCCTGCTATAGCTTTCAGTCGGTACGACAGAAACTTCTGGCGGAAATCGGTTTGTCATACCATGTTTTTCCAAATGAGCCTAAAATTTCCATCAAACCTTGTAGGCTTCATTGGATTCGGTGAAATTCTCTTGTCACTCTGTATCTTTAAGTCGGTATGACAGGTAATTCTGGCAGGATGATCATTTACTTAAAAACTACATATTACTAAATTTAGTCGAATCCGCGATACTCAATGCCACCAGCTCCCGGGTCATTTCTATTCGCAGGGGGCTACGGTTAGCACAACACCTTCCTCGCGATGCGTATGCCGCTGCCTAATCCCTCCCCCACCTTCACGGAGTCACCCTGCAGCACTGTGCTGCGAGCGGTGCTCGGCGCTGCACTGGTGGCACCATTGGCACCCGAGTTGGAGAGGCGTGTCCGAGACGATGGTGGCAAACGCAGTTATATACCAATAAATCAGCACACCGTTGCAACAATTTGATAGCGGAATTGAAATTTCAACAAGTAAGTGGACATTGCAACAAGGATGTCTCCGACAGACTTTGAATATCTTCTCACGTTGATTGGACCAAAAATACGACGACAAGATACAAAATGGAGAGCTACCATCACAGTACAAGAAAGACTTGCAGTCACGGTGCGATTTTTAGCGACCGGTGATTTACACAGTAGTTTGCAGTACATCTTTCGAATTTCAAAGCAATCGATCAGCTACATCATTCCAGAAGTTTGTGGGGCATTGATGGAAGTTTTAAATGAAAATATACAAGTAAGAAAAATAATTATTTTACATTTCAAAATAACACACTGGTGCTCGCCGCACCGTTATGTGTGTCCAAACATGTGCAACTTCGTCGCGAGCCATTCCTTTGATGTTGCGCTGAAAAATCGGTAGATCCTGGACCGGGCCGAACGGCGAACTGTTAACGCTAATTAGGTTCGCGACGGCGTTCTTTTCACTGTCTACACTAGCGCGGCGCGGTTCGTCGCTTGGTCGGTTCGCGGTGTTGTTTCATGACTTAATAATTGATGAATACTCTTTTTTACATTATTTTTATATCTGGCACCATTTTAATTTCTTGAGGCAACTTATTGTATATTTTAGTACAACTGTAATGGATATTTTTTTCGGTAACCGCGATATAATGACTGGATACAGAAGACTTATACGGTGAAATCTCCTTTGGGCGGACACCAGACCGACTGAAAATGTCCGTTCAAGAGGGGTATGCGTATAAAAGAAATACAACAAAAATCGACATTTAAAACGTGTATGTATATAAATGTTTATAAAATAAACAAAAAAAATTAATTTGAAAAAATAAAGGTTTTGTTACCTTTAGATATATATAAAAAGGATGTACATACAATCAAAATCACGAAAGATGACTATTACGTCATACCATAAATTGTACTGAAGTAATCAATGGACGTACGTCGATGATAAAATCACGATGTCGGGAACATAATGACAAATGTATTTTATGATTTCGCGAAGTTAGGTTATTTCACTGATCATTTTTATTTTCATTTTATTTAATGGTTTGAGTGATACCTTAATAATAATTTTAGTGGGGAGTTTTTGTTCTGAAAAAACAGTTATAGAGTAGAATACCTTAAAACAGGAACACCAAAGACCAAGTATTATTTGAAAACAACCTAACCTGCTTTAACATAACTATTCATCTTTCAAATATGATCGATCACGCAACATGAAAACATCGTCTATCTTTGTCGGATACATGGAAATTAGGAATACAGTTTGTTTATACAATAAAATTCTGTTTGTCTCTGTCTAACATATCTGAAACTGCATTAAAAATAGTCACAAATCGCTGTCGTTTATCTTTACTATAGACTAAAATGATGACGTAATCGTCATCTTTCGTGATTTCGACTATATGTACAATATTTGTATAATAAGCACGTACATATAGTATGTATGTATGTGTATACATATGTATATGTAGTTGTAGTAACACAAAACAATGAAATAAGAAGTCACTTTAAGGACACAAACATTCATATATTGTCGTTTGTCTCCTCTTTTTATTCAAAATAGCGTCTTGAAATCGTATTTCTAATTTAGAAACGAGCTCGAAAGACTCTGTATTTCCCTGATTTTCGACAATACTTTTGAGCTGCTTGGTCAGGGTAATAGCTTTACCATAATTTGGAATAGCTTCTGTTGGTACTGGAACCTCACTGACATTAGAATCTTCGAAAATTTCTTGTGTTTCAACTGGATTTTCAATTTCTTGAATCTTTCATCTAGGTTCAAAAAATAATAAAGGTTTTCATTGTCAGTCAATTTCAATAAATCCTTATTTTTTATATTTGAAAGTACATTAAGTGGTAAGGTGGTTAAGTGGTTCATGCTTAAATCCTGCTTAACTGAAGCAGTTTTGCACTGTGCGTCCAATGACGTAATTTTCTTCATTGACTCGATGTTCACTAGCAGGTGTTTATTAATTAGATTTCGGTAATAAGTACAATTAAGGGTTAAAAATAACATTTTCATATTATTTAAGCGAATGTATTTTGGGATGAGATAATGCATTGTCTAAAAATAACAAAATGGTTCTTTATTCTTTAGAAATTTTCCATTCTAGGTCTTGCAACCACTCTGTCATAATTTGTCTTGTCATCCAAGCTTTCTTATTGCTTTTACAGTTACAGGCAGGGCATTTCTGTTAATGTTTTTAAAAGCTCTGAGCTTAGCTGCCTTACCAATAACTAGGAGTTTTTCTTTTTAACCCGCCATATTTACACAGTGCGAAATTGTAAACCTATCTTTGGTATACTTACCCCCAACACACTTCCTTCTTTAATGTGAGTGTTTTGTCGGGTAGAGCCCTTTAGGGCTGTATTTTAATACAGGCCTGTCTCAGTGGCATTATAGATGTCTCTCGGTGAGTATCCCTTGATCAAAGAAGAGAATATTTACACAGTGCAAAATTGTAAACCTATCTTTGGGATACTTACCCCCAACACATGTTTCCTTCTTTAATGTGAGTGTTTTGACGGGTAGAGCCCTTTAGGGCTGTATTTTAAGACAGGCCTGTCTCAGTGGCATTATAGATGTCTCTCGATGAGTATCCCTTGATCAAAGAAGGGAATTGTCTTAAAAACGATGAAACATCTTCAGCATTAACAAAGGCTCCTTCTCCTCAAGAGAATGTCCGTCCAAGAGAGAGTTAATACAATGTAAATTATATGAGTGTCGGTCGGGATCATGAGAAACTGTCCGTGTAAGAGAGGTTTCCACAAAGGGGAATTTCACTGTATCTCAATTTCATGTGTTATAATCACTTCGTGGGTTACCGATAAAGTTGTCAATATCTTGAATATACCTTGCGGCTACAGTTAAAATTTTATTGCTATGGAATTTTCCTCCACAAGTTTCTCCAGAGGCAATTTTTCGAATTTATCTCAGCAGTCGCTTCTGCACTAGAAAGATCCTATTGGTATGGCTAGCATATCCAAGATAAATTATGCCAAAACGTGCAATGGGCGCAAAATTCGCGTAATTTACCATTTTTAGTGTAATATGCTTAGCCGAGGAGTGCTTGGTCAATATAAACTCCTAAGAATTTTCCACAATCTGTCAGCAGGACTTCTACTCTTTGGGCAAAAAGGATGTTTGTAGGTTTTTTTAGCTTAAATACAATCGCATTTGTTTTTGAGGTATTCAGGGATAATCCATTACGATCAAACCACAAAAACGCTTTCTTGTATAGGCTCAAAGTACTTCCAGCTACATGGTTAAAATGTTGGCCAGATATCAGTACACAAGTTTCATCAGCGTATTGATTCGTGCATACATTATTTGGGCTTGTAATACTAGCACTCAGGTCATTCACACAAATTAAAAAGAGTAGAGGTTCTACATAAGACACTATCTTGTGGAATACTTCTTTCTATCGTTAACTGTGATGAAACAGCTAATATTCCATTAGTATTAAATTACTTGGCTGTATCTAAGCAGCAGCACTGTTTCTTGGAAAAGTAAGTCAATTTTAAGAATGAGGGAACCCTTCAAAAACACATATACCATACTCTTAATATCACTAACAGTAAATGAAATAACACAGAGCAAATCACTGCACCGAGTAATGGTACTCGGCATTCAAATCTGACCAAGCACCCGGTACTCGGCCGTTTGAAAGAAACACTACTCGGTTCATCAATAACAATGTTCGCTAAACTGATAAATTCAGGAGCGCTTTGATCTGATAGATTGCTTTGTTTCCAGATCAGTCCAAGTTCCGTGTCAAGCAGTCCGGGCAGCATGGGTGCCCACGCTGGTCAAACAGGTGTAACCCGAATAATCAGTATCAGTCCTTCGCGCAGTCAGTCAACATCTCCACTGCGCCCCAGCGTAGCCAATCAGTCCATTGTCAATGTGCTCACTTCAAAGACCAGACCAGGCACAAATGTGCGACTCCAGCTTTTCTCTTCCTCTGGAGATGGCCAGATGGGGCAAACTACTAGTGCCACTTTGTCCCCTAGGTACAATTAATTAATTACCATTAAATATATGGTTTTAAAATTTTAGTCATTTTTTTTTTGAAGTAGTATGTGTAATTGTGTTATAAACCCAAAAATACGCGAATAGTTCAAGTTGATGAAATAAGAATAATAAATAAAGTAGACTTGATATACCATGTTTTCAGTGTTAGGGTGTGGTACAGAATGTCATCTTCCAGGGTTCATACATCTCTAGCCACATGCCATGGTATAAACAAAGCAGATGCCTTCGATGCATATAAATAGACCATTATCGTTAAAATTCAGTACCTCCGCCAATGTGAGGTGTCGGTAAAATCTGCCATTCCTTAATAAAATTGTCTCCTATCTCATTTTTAACCCTCCTATGCCTGCGCAAATTTTTGTTACACCTATACCCGCGCGCGGTGTCAGCCCGAATGTTTGGAACCCTGTTCTATATTTTCATAAATCAACACCTGTGTGAATAACAGCAACATAAGTGTCTCGCACAAACGCACAGAGTACGTACACTAAAGTGAAAAGTCAGCAACAAACCAGGCAGCTAGCAGAAATCTTGATTCGTCAGCGTTTCCAGGAAAATAATAATACTTGAGTGTTTCGTCGGGTTCAGAGACCAATGCGCGGGTATAGGAAGGTTAAACAAGAGAATTGTTATAAACTTGAAAATGTGCATAATAAAATTTTTCATTGCCGCCCCAGCTTCCACACCTCAGATCACACTGCTATCCCAGGAACTCGATCCCTGATTTTGCCTACACTACTGCCATGGTGATAGGTATGTCCTGGCCGTCATTTACAAACAGTTTCCAACCATCATTTGACCAAGTTAACATTAAATGTGCATTTTGGGCTCGTTGCCAGAACACCCCTATATAGCTAATATATGGGTCCGCGCCAGACGCATACCGCATGATAGCCAGCCTGATAGTTGTGATCACATTGCCCTCCTAGGTTCCCACCTGCAAGAGTGCATACTTTTTTTCCAAGGACCAACTGCTTTACTGCTAGCTCCTTACCAGCCAGTACTGATTCTGTCTGCAGTATTGCCACATAACTTAACATTCACTTCTTACTCGAAGCTAGCAGCAAAGCTCATGCCAGTTTAGCCTACAAAACATGATGTTGGGCCCATTCCTTTTTCGGCGAGAATGCCTACCCCAGGCAGTCCTGGGCATTGCTGATCTTGCGCGCTGCCATCAAGTTGCAATGCCTCGGCATGATACAGCTCCGTTCAGATTATTCTAGTGACACAGACGAGGTGTCACCTGGTAGACTGATAAAATATATTGTCTTCAGAATTGTCAATCGAACTTCAAAAAGGCCACCATGGTTACCGAAACGTCGTTGTTAGTAAATAGTATTGTACCCCACCAAAAATACTTGGATAATTCAAGTTAATGAAGATATTAACAGTCGCGTACTTATACCGAGTATAGAGCATTTAGGTGTTGTACCCTTCTCTAGGCTTGTAGTACTGATCCTTGTCTCTCTTGACAATTTGACAAAATATAAATAAACTGTGTTTTAAAAAAGTATGAGTCTATTAGGAAGTGTTTGTGGGCAGAGGTGGAAAATATGTGTAAGAGGGGAAAGGTGAAATATGCATGTTATTAAACCTAAGTGGTCATTCCTGATGGATTTTATTGTACAAGCAACAGGAGTTTTTAGTCCGTACCGAAAATTGACAAGAATTGTCGTAAATTGTGCGATTTACGAGCGACTTTTGAGCATCAAGAAATGTGATCCTGTTACATTGAAGTCTTCAATAAGACACGATATTCAAAATGTTGAACAAATCTCGATATTTTAGTTGACGCAAAGACATGTATTTATTTATGTGCTAATAATCTAGGTGTTGTAATTGTCATTTCAAGAAGCTCGAGCCCATATAAGTATGTACCTGCCTCATTATTAATAATATTCCTCAAGGTCATTACAGTTGAAATGGTAAAAAATGTTTCGCACTTATTCTGTTGTAAATAGACAAAACGCGTATATTCTGGAAAGGGTATTTATGACAACGTTACAGAAACTAAAACGCCTACAGCAAAAAACATTTCATTGCTGATGTCCGGTTATGTATGCTAATTTATATATAGTGTGTCGTATGTCAATTTTGCCAAGTGATACTGTACTAAAATCGATATTCCACATATTAAATAGAATAAATAAATGAAAAAATACGTTTATTATAATAAATCTTCGCAGGGGGTTAAAGCGGCCGCCAACTTCGTCCGGCGAAAAGAAGGACAGTTACGCGTCGAAGCTACAACGGGTGATGAACCATCGGATCGTGCGGTCGAAACTGGTGAAGGAGAAGTACAACGAGCATTTGCTGGAGGCGTACTATCTGGAGACGGGCAGCAACATCCTAGACCTGTATCAGTTCGCGAAAAAGCCGAAGACGCAAGCATACCTGGCCTACCTGCGCGACCACGCCATCGACCCGAAGGAGTACCAGCAGCAGGAAACCTCTATGGAGGTGACGTCCACTGTTGGGGTTACTGTACCTATGACTACACCGGGTACGCCGAGTGCCACGGCAGCGAGCTCTTTGCCTGGCATCTCGCACGCCACCAGGTAAAATAATCTTTTACTTTTTAAATATCAGTTAAATAAGTGAGCTAAAGAATTGCGAGAGAGATGGTACTATTCAATTCTAAAATTTAACGTCATATTCCTATTTCAAATATATATTTTTTTTATATAATAGCTGCTATTTTTAATAGACAATGCGAAATCGACGGCACCGCTGAAAAGATCTTGTTACTAACGTTATTTCCTAGTTACATCTTTAAGCAGTACTAGCACAAAGACTTAAAATGTGCCCAATGTGAAAAGTCGTCAAAGTTAAAAGAAACTTAGTTTAATAATGAAGAATGAACGTATAATTTCATTCAGATTATTTCGATAGTTGAGAAGCGAAGTGTCCCTTTGCCCTATTCAAATCTTCTTTACGCCCCGTCAAAACAGACACCGGCGCGCAATCTCTCAATTTGCGACCTCTTATTGGCCAGCCATCCAAACATCTCGGCACACAGTAACAGGCAAATAGATAAATCGATGAAGCTTTAGGTTTATCGCGAAATAAATGAGGTTTGAATAGCGTATAGGAAGTTTTCTTGACCTTGATCGTCTCCAAGTTGAGATTATGATTTCTAAAAAGGAAAAAATGGCCATGGTGCTAAAAGGTGTATAACATCTATTATCCCTGAGGTCGCCAAATGACTAAACTTAAACTCAAATTAGTAAGTAGTACAGGAAGGGATCAATTGAGCGGGATACTCTATCGTATAGATCTGAACTTATGGCTGGCAGGAAGTGCCTGGCCGTGCTAGATATTTAGAAGTTCATTCCTATTTTTAGTTAAGTTTCTCATCTGATACCTGAATATCTGCTGTCTATCCAACTTAATTGGTGTACAGGCGTTCAAAGTAGATATAAACGGAACTCTTTGCCCCACTTTTGTCTTCTGTAGAATAAAGTATGTCTGGCAGTCCTGATATCTTGGACTATTATGAATCTGGACGTTAGGCAGCGGCCATGATGTCAAATTCTCTTTTTCGAACATTTACCATAACAGTAGGGAAAAGGTCAAAAAATTGAAAGAACATGTTTAATTGACAGAGCACAATACTTAAAACCGGTTGACAGTCTATTGTCTGCAAGTTCTTACATTTACAATACGGCATTATTTTGTCTACAAGACAATTGCATCCAATTACTTGCAGCTGCAAGATGGCCATGTTTCATTGATTCTGAAGTGCAAGGTTATCCAACCTAAACAAATGAAATATTCCATGTCCCATTCCTAACCTATTATTTGGTTTTTGTTTTTTAAAAAACTAGTTTCAATCGGCGACCATCCAACGCCATAACACGATCAAACCTATATTTGTAAACAAATGTAACCACACAAACCACCGGACCGATCTAGGGACATATGCATACATTGGTAACTTGTAAGTTACTAAATATTCTACCAGAATTCCAGAGAAACTTTCATGAAAAATCCAACGCAAGACTTGCCAGATGCAAATAAATCTACAGGAAGAGTCGGCTGTTTTGTTACTACGCATGCGTCTGATCCACATTTCACTTGTATCTTGCTGACTGTATAACGGGTATAAATGACAGATTTTTTTAACAAATTCAGGATGAACTAGGGCATGTTTCAAACGCGGAAACTACGCGAAGTTTATATAAAGAAAACGCTATGACGATATGTTGTTCATGATCCTGGTGCCTTCTCATAAGCTGGTCATAAACATATCTAATAAGAATGTTTTCAAAGCAATTGCTGTTTTCTACATGTTTATAACCATCGTTTTGAATCATTAAAATGCAGCTCATCCACATACATATATTAATTTCATCCTCGTTAATTCGAGTTCATTCACTAGCACGTCGATGGTATCCACCCACTCTACCGCCTCGACGGACTCCTTGAAAGCGTCCGCTGTGGCTAAGGCGAAGTCCCAGTTGATTGCGTCGCCATCGGCGTCACCAACTCCTGGTAGCACGACGGCGCCGACTACTACGGCCACGGCGGCCACCAACCAGGAGTTGATAGTGGAAAAGGCCAAGCAGGAGGCGTACGTCGTCCAGAGGATCTCCGATTTGCAAAAGGAGGGGCTATGGGCTGAACGGCGGCTTCCGAAGGTAGGTATATCATATTAATTTACAGGAGAACAGTAGAGATCGAGCGATACCAATAGGTTATGTGGACAGTATCAGCTTATTTTGCCGTATATGAATCTGTCGTTGACTGCCTGTAATCCGATATGGACGGACTGTTACAAATCATAAAATTAATAAAGTTTAAAATTATTGAATTGAGAAAAACCAACATAAACACATCTTTTCATTAATTTTATCATTGCAACCTTTCCTATTTCGCCAACGATTGTCAGTCAGTCTTTTGATCGAAAAGTTTGTCGAAATGAGAGTACGAAAATGCCGTAGTGATGCACTGAGTACTCGGTTTAAAAACCGGTTTCGCCGAGTGTTGAAATACTCGGTTTGAACAACTCTTGTAGATCAAAAAATTGTAGACATGATATACAATTTCTGGGCTCATGTATCTTTCTCAAACCTTTTTGATACGTTCTCACAGAGATTAAAGTAGATTTGGATAGTTTTTTTCTGTAAATATTGATAGGCCTTCTCTATTCAGTTTGTATGTTTACAGTATTTGTGCAGCTTATTGTTTATAGACAAGATGTTACTACATATTTTTATAAAAAATACGGTACTTCATGGAGCAGCTACTATATTAGTTAAACTGCAACCACATTCTACTATTCACTTTTTTATACTTACCTATATCGAGTATCCCATGGAACTCTTTACTCATAGGTGAGTATAATTTAGTTTCAGTCCTTTCCGTATCTGAATTGACCCCGCCACTTCATTAAGTAGTTTTGCTTTTCTTTTGTAATTGTCAGAAACCTGTACTTAATTTCAGTGTTCGTGATGGCCATGACACGGCAGCAATTCTATTAGGCAATTTCTCAAAAATTAAACAGCTTGAGGCGTCGCGTTGCCTATCTTCATCAAAAATCTACGTTCATGATTAACTGTGGTGCGTTCTTTTTGTTGAAAAAGCAAATCAAATTTGAGAAGACCTTTCAAAAACGCAAGTAATACCACTAACAGATGAAATAACCCACAGCGAATCACTACTAGGTATTCGAATCTGACTGAATACCTCGGTACGCGGCCTTTTGAAAAAATTAGTACTTTGTGCGTCCGTCAATGTCGCATCACGTTAATAAGCATAAGCATACGGTTGGTATATTTTTGATTTATTCCGCAGAATGTTTGTCATTTGAGGTGGGATTTCAAAATAAGTTGCTCATTGACATTGTCACGGTTTCTCTAGATTTTTGCACAGGTGAATGGTTTTTAATTTTGATTAAAACATGTATATGTCTCACATTACTATTGTCAAATCAACTTTCTATATCCAAGGTAGTTGACTTGTTTTTTGTTTAACTACAATGAATAGAAAGGAGATTGAAAATGTAACAATACCAAACAGACTTAGCAATTCAATAGCTAGTTTGTATGCACGTTACATACATTCACAAAAAATTGTATTCCAAAAGAAATTGTTGAATTTGCATTTTTGAATGTTTGTTATCCTAAAATTTCTCACATCAGCAATATTACAATTGCACTTTCATATACAGATTCAGGAAATGCCGCGGAATAAGGCACACTGGGACTTTCTTCTTGAGGAAATGCATTGGTTGGCGGCCGATTTCGCTCAGGAGCGTAAGTGGAAGAAAGCTGCTGCCAAAAAATGCGCTAGGATGGTACAGAAATATTTCCAGGTAAATATAATGTTTAATAATGTAGCATCTGAAATCTATTCTGGCCATTAACTGACAGGACTATTAGAGCCGTTTCAAATGTAGCCGGCGGTCAGTGCTGACCGTCAGCACCTATGCTATCGCGTTTTCACATGCTGCATATGATCAGTTGTTCAATATGTATGTGCGAAACAACATCGTGCGCGCCGTTGCGATTTATATTATTTTACGTAGAAGACGACAACAAAAACCGATGAAAAAGAGGTTGTGGGTACACCCCCTTGTACTAGAGCGAAACGTAGCAGGTGCATTCGTAACATTATACACCAGCCTCAGAGAAGATGAAAGAAAATTTTATAAATATTTTCGAATTTCAATAAAATCATTTGACGAACTGCATTCCAAATTAGAAAGTAACCTGAAATTTACTGACAAAATACGAGTTTCTATTTCTTGTACAATAAAAGTTATGCAATCTGATATCAACCAGTTTTGCTCACCTAAATCCTTATTTTCTTGCTCAGACATATTACCAAAATCTGCAATCACTATTTCAGCCACACGTTCAAAGCAGCATATTTCTTATCACGGTTTTTATAAATCCTCCCCAAGAGAAATCCCAAATACATTTTTCTTCTTGTATTGCAGCTATTTTTAGTTTGGTATCAATATAAATGTTATTACTTTTCCTATCACTCATTTTATACACTTTAGGCAAATACCAACACACCAATAAACAAACCAAATCAGGAAAACACTGCAACACCGCTCGCCGACCATCAGCTTGCATGTGAAATATACCAAATTTACAATAGTCCTACCTCGTGTTGATGGTGAGCATCAGCTCGGGCTCAGCTGTCGCCCGACGGACGATACGTGCCGAACGGATCATACGCTAGGCATGTGAAATGATTCATTTACGGTAATACATAATATATTCATCATCACTGACAGTCAGCGCTGAGAATCAGCTACATCTGAAACGGCTCTTAGGGCTCTCATTTCAACACGCTGTATTGTAGCGGCAAAATAAATGGTGTCATCTGAATACAGATAAATGTAAAATATAATCTCTGGACATATTCGACTAATCTTACTATAGGTGTTATTCAAGTTTAATGACGTCTTTTAGGCGAATGTCGCATGATTAGCATTTATTGATTATTCCGTTAGTTTCAGTGGATTTCTTTGTGACCATATGCATCAATAATAGGGAACATGCATGATGTTTTTTTTAATATCTTATTACGTTATTTACGTTAATACAATATAA